ACCAATATGTATGAAAAAAATTTACATTTCGAGAAAATGGATAAAAAGCTCCGACTTGCATCCAACTATAAAAATAAATATGATTTAAAAAAAATAAAATAAAATATTTTTTGTTTTACCGAATACACATTTCTTCTGAAGGTGTTTTATCAAATCCACAAATATCTGCACCATTTAATGGTATACCAAACCAATTAAATTCTACCATACCAATTAAAGATCTTTTCATTTCATGCCATGTTGCTTCATTATCTCCAAGCCAATGACCAGACCATTGACCCGAACCAATAAATGTCGAACGTGGTAAAACTAAACTTCGTTTACCAGTTATTTCTCGCATAACATCTAATGTTGGTTTTGTTTGACTCCATCCATATAGACTAAAATAAATTGATTCAAAATTTTTTAATCAAAATTAATATCTCTTACTTATGAACATCATAATGACGATATTTTGGTTTATTTGTTTCTGGATCAATTTCACCCTGTACTGCTGTCATACATAATGTACGATCTGATAAACGACCAGGTCGATTAAGTTTTTGATCCCAACGAAATCCAGCTTTAGTACGATAGGGTGGATCATCCCATTGATTTTGACTACATTTCAATGTATAATTACTTCCTGTATCCATCCAATTCCATGGAATTGGTTCATTCGTATCAAATAAAGCTATAATAATTGATAAACAAATTAGCAAAACAAAGAAAAAAAAAATTATAATTTAATAATTACCAGGTTCATTCATATCAATCCAAAGACCATCAAATGATACATTAACACTATGAAAATCTTTAATTAATCTTGACCACCAATCTTGTGCTCGTTTAGTAAAGAAATCTATATTCAAAAAAATCATCTTATTTTTTATTTTGTATAGAAAAAAAAAATCGAGTCTACTAACCTGGAAAAAAGACATCACCTGGCCAACATGAACCTTTCATTACTGTTTGTCCATCATCATATTTAATAAAAACATCATCTCTTATCCCTTCAATAGTTGGTCTATAATAGGCTTGATCATCAATTGTAGCCGGATCCAAAATAACAATTGTTCGTACACCTTCACTATTTAATTGAGCAAAATATTCTTTTAAACCTTTAAAATTAACTGGATCAATTGTAAAATCTTTTGCAGCATCCATATAATCAATATCAGCATATTGTACATCAAGTGGAATACCAGCATCTCGATTTCGTTGAACAATATTTTTCATATGAGTTATATTTGAATAAGCCCAACGTGAAAGTTGAAAACCTAATGACCAATATGGTGGTAATATTGTACGACCAACAAGCCATGTATATTGTTGAACAACTTGTTCTGGTGTTGGACCAAGAAAAACAAAAAAATCTAAAATACCACCAATAGTTCGAATAGTTAATGAAGGTGTTTTTTCAAATGAATAATCCATAGCATTTGAATTAACTAAAAGAACACCATGCATACGACCAGTTGGAGCTCCATTAGAATTCATTAGTTGTTCCATAACAAGATAAAATGGATGAGAACCATAATGATTTGAATTTGTATCCCAATTTGTTCCTTACAAAAAAAAAAAAAAAGATTGTTGTTTTTTTCAGCATTCTTACAAAAGTCATAAAATCAAGAATTTCTATCTTTCTATAGATTCTTTTTATAATCGACATATAGTTAGCAAAAAATGGTTTGACAAGATCAAATCAAATCAGATTGTCGAGTATATCAATTCAATACTGATCGATTAGTATTGACCAATAAACTACTAATTAATTAATTAATAGAGCAAAAGATACTATCACCGAGAACTCACGCTTTTTTTATAAATTGTGGGTACGAACGTAAGAATTAGGGTAAATAGAAGACTCACACCCATATATAACATTATTTAGGTTTTTTTCAGAATGACAAACCTTGATCCCGAGCAAATATTCCCCATGTTTTTTTTTCTTGAACATTATGTTTAAGTGTATCATGATTATTTTCACCAAAACCATAAACATGTGGTGATTGAAGTCGAGTAACTATTTGAAGAAATTGATTATTTAAAACAAGACCACCAAGTGATGTATCAAATAAAATTGCATTATCAAGTCGACGTTTTATTGAAAATGAAAGAATATTATCACGTGAACTATCCGATGAATAACTAAATTCATATTGTGGTGAAGATACTTGATTAGAAGCAGATGCTAATGGTATTGGTACCTAAATCAATTAAAATCTTCTGATAAATTTTACCTAAACAATGAGGTGAACGTCTTAGTATACAATGTATTTTTTTTTTCAGTTTTCATCTTCGAATGAGCAAGAGCAGTTAAATGTAATTATATATTCTGAGTCTAAATAATTATTTTAATTATTACTTGTTGTTTGTTAGAACTGAAAAAAGCTTGTAAGTACAATTCCTTTGAAGCTAAAATACAAAACTCACATGTTTTCATTAGCTTCATTATACTAATACAAAATCAGCAAAGTAAAAAAATCTCTGAGAGACGATAGTTGTTTATTACTTCTTTAGCTAGTGATCTTTTTCTATTTTGTTTTTTTGTTGCTATTCATTCGTATTTATTTTCTTTTGCGTGATTTATTATTATTCTGCTTACTGTTGATTTAATTTACAAATAAGCCTGTTTTATACATTCGTTATATCTACAGGCGATCTTAACGCGCTATTATGTATGTATCTCGATAAATTCAAACATTTATGAAAGTCACAGTTCATTCTTTTATCTTTAATATGCGCAAAAACTGAAAAAAAACATATTAAAGTGATTTTAGTTTTAAAGAAAGCTTTGCAATATTCTAGAATCGTCTTAGTCTGGCAAAGAAATTCATTGTTCGAGATTGCTATGAAAACGCACTCTATGATCTTTGATTCGGTAGCTAAAGTCTAAGGAAGGATTCCATCTAAACCTCGATTTAAACTTATAATCATTATACTTTTTCGAAAAATATAATATGAATTACACAAAATGAGAAAAATACTTTGTACGAACGAGAAAACATATGCAACTGTCGAACACTGTTCGATTCCATCTTTTGACTATGTGTAGGGCTCATTGCGACTAAAAAAATCCTAGACAAGTTCGTGGCAGAAAGGAGATTTTCTTACACCTATGTAGTAATAAGATCTCCTTCCTGGCATAAACTTGTCTAGGGTCTCCTTAATCTTAGTGAGTCCTACTTATAGCCAAAAGATCGGATCGAACGACGTTCGACAGTTAGATATGTTTCCTTGTAAAACTGTCATGTCATAGATAATATTTCTTCTTACTTCAAATCGTTTGTTGTCAGCATCATATAATTTAACTCTAATAATATCATTTGTATAATGTTGAACTTCAAGTATAACATTTTCAATAGGTTGTTGAAACATACTAGATACTGCTGAATTTCGTTTTAGTCTTAATTTTAAACCATTATTTAGTTGTTCTGCAGAATCTTGTAATATATAACCATAGTTCGGTGATAAATAACATTGCATAACACCAGGACCAGCTCCATCATCAAATACACAATTTCTAGCTAAACATGATTCTTTTGAATAACCTGAAAATCGTGATTCAGCTTCAGGATAACAGTCAATACGTTGATCTATTCTTGTTGATTGTTGCCTTTTTGATAACGATGTACGAGCAGTTGTATTTGTTATTATTACAACAAGAATTATAATAACAGCACATATTAGAGAGGATTTAATCCTACTCATTCGACGATACCAACGTCGTAACTATATAACAAAAAAAAAATATTTAAATTAACTAAAAAACTAAAAAATAAAATCAATATTTATATGAAAATAAAAAGACCTCGACGAGAAAAAAGTCAGGTGTTTCTCACCCTGATCCCGGACTTTGGAATACAACGTTGTAAAGACATAATACTGACGACAATTGGAATATTTGATGACCGATGAGCATGCTCCAGTTTAGTGCACAATATGAACGATTAAATAAGCAATACTATTTTATGAAGATGACTTATCAATGTATTCAATCTATAAATCAAATAGCTTTTTTTTTTCATTTTTTTTTTAAATGACAAAATTATCATATGCATTTTTTTCTCATACAAAAGCAAATATTTTCATGTGAATTGATTATCTCTTTAAAAAGTATTATATCATAAAAAAAAAGCTGAAATATTTCCAAACATTAACTAAGTGCATAATTATAACCTTGCACGATATCATCAATTATTTTGCGTCTCTAGATATATATATATATAACGCTACTTTTTTCTAATTGGTTAATTTTAGCCGATAGATTTTAGTAGGAGGAAAAAAGACGCTCACCCCATCTGGGAATGGTTTTAAATTTTGTTCATTTTCGTTTTCTATGTTGTCTTCATTTAAAGAACTCTCGTTCTCTGTTAGAAGTATATATTCGTAATTTCTATTCATTAATAATGATCATCTATAAATATAAAATATATATCTAGAAGCAAAAATAAATGTTATTCATGCACTTATTTACCTACCTATATTAAGCTACTACTCATTGATTGCATGATTTTAAATGAAGCATAAAAGAAAAGCACATTCGTACTTTGCGTTTGATTTCTGAAGACGGCAAAAAGAAGGAATACACATATTCACATCCATCACTGTAACAATAAATTAAAAAAAGAGTGTATTTCATTCTCGTAAAGTATCAAACATGATTAATCAGAACGAAATAAACCTTGTTTTTTTCTTCGATACAAATTCTCTTTTTAAATGTTTCGAATTTTTTTTGTTTTGTTTTCAATGATTAACTCAATAATCACACAACATACATATTCATGTTTTTAGTTTTAAAATTATTAATTTTTATGTAAGCAAAAGATTAGTAGTACCCTCATAATAAATATTTTATTGTTGAGACTAAAGTATTATTGTATAACATCCCTTTAGTCTTACTATAAAAACGATTATAATCAAAAAAAAACATAATACCTCTAAACTATATTTTTATTAATTTCTAAATGAATATTAATACATAAATATATAGATGTATAAATAAAAATATAAGTAGATTAGATACATTCATGTGAAAGCTTTTCATAAGTATTTTCATCAATTTTAACAAAACATTTTTCTTTAAATGAGAACATATATACTTCTCCTCTATATATATCAGTCCATAATGCATGCACTTGTAATTCTTTTCGATTAAGACGTTCTCGTAAAAATGGATAAGATAAAAAATGTCTTAATTGTTCTAATGTATTTACCTAGAATATAAAAATTTATTTATGTTATAAATTATAATTTATTGATTATACTTGAGATAATTTATCGGAATGTTTAAATTCATTATTTGGATCAATATATGCTTCAAAATCATCTTCATGATGTTGTGCACTAGCAAATATAAGTTTACATTTATAATCTCCTGAAGATTCAAGTTTTTTAAATTGTTCAACTGTTCCTTGAGCATGAACTTTAAGCCATTGTTCAAGTGGAGTATTAGATGGTGTAGAAATTTCATTGCGAATTTTATATAATAAATTCATTGCTTTACAATCGGAATGACCAAAAACAGCAATCATCGGTACATTATTTCTTGAACAAGCTAATTCTAATGCGGCACATTCACTACCAACTAATGAATTATCTTTATAATATTCATAAGGAGGAACTAAATTACCTTTAAAGAACAAAAATATTTATTAGAAATAATTGAAATTATATTGAAAAAAACAAGTTCATTACCAGGATTTCGAACAATAAATAACTGACCCGGTACAGCTTGAGTTAAACGAGATGCAACAACACGACTATCAACACATGTTAAAAGAAGTCCTTCAGGCTAAAATAAAAAACAGAAATCTTTCGTTTTCTATGACATAAAGAATTCTTACAGAAGGTCCAAGTGCAACTTTTTTAAATTCTTCTAAAAGTGATGGTCTTAATGTTTGACGATATTTCATAATTCCTTCAAGTACACGAGCCATTCCTTTACGTATCGAATATGCAGAAGCCATCTTTTATGTCTGAAAAAATAAATGAAATATAATTGATGATCTTAACAAAAATAAATAACAAGAATAGATATTTATTTAAGAATAATGTTCTAAAATATATTTTATATAATTCATTTATATCTTTGTATTGATTAACATATGTAATGTCGAATCAATTAACACAAGTAGATCAATAAATAAAAATTTAATTAAATGAAAATTTCATTGATTTCTTAAAAAGAAAAACATATTTTACTATAAAGATTTCTTTGCGATGAAAATCAACTCATCTAAATCTTAAATTATGATTCGTGATAATCTAATAACAATGTTGTTATTCGATGATAAAGAATAATCTTTATTCTTGGTTTTTTTCTAACAATAATATTATATAAGGAAAAAGTAAAATCAAATCGATTATTAAAGTATTCAACAGTGATTTTAGTTGTTTTTTTGTCTCAAAAAAAATGTATATGAATCATTTGTGCAAAACGATTTTCATCTTTTGACAATTAGATCATTCATGAAAGATGATACTGCACTTAAAAATTGTTTAATTCAATGTTTCTAATAGTAAGTGTATCAAGCAGAGATAAAATATTCAGAACATCTACTACTTCTGAAATACACCCTATTTTACATGTTGCTTAGAAAAAAAAACGACAAGCATTTAGGATGAACGTTTAGAGCACTAGTGAATGATACATTATGACCATCGCAAAACCTATGACTGTAAAAAGATTGCAGTTGATCTCAGATTTTCAAGTCAAATAAGCACGTTTGTAAATAGTCGTTTTAGATGGGGTTTTTTATACTGTTTTGTAGTCACAGTAGTATGACCTTAGTTCACTGTATTGAAAATGATTGTAAGCAGTCGAATACTTGAACTTTCAGATCGTTTGACAACTGTGTACCGCACGAGAAAATATAGTCGTAATATTATATCCACTAAACGTTAATTTACAGCAATTAATGACTACGAACTGTATGAAATGACAGTGTACAGTACTTTTTTTGACCATCTCATTGACTATAATCATCGCCGTGCAAATGAATACTGTAAAACTATCACGACTATAAACGGTTTCTAAAACTATCGTTGTTATCTATCGTATTTATTTACAAACAGTCATCAATGTCAACAACCTTTTCTATTTCAATAGAACAAAATACATTGGTTGATTGATATCATATTCTTTACTTTTGTTCTGAAAAATATTATTCGACATTGAATCTACTAATGGTTCTAATGTTTTTAGACCTACGGTAGAGATCTATAACTTTACGTATAATAGTTTAGATATGAGAATTTTAACTATAAGAATATAGAAAAAAAAGCGTTCCGATCTAAAAGCATAAGTGTATGCATATAGTCATAAGGAAATAGGCATAGCGTATTAGTGATAATGGTGTACTTATAACTCATGGTTGTTATGGTCAAGAAGTCTGGCATGACGTATTGATGCTGTTGTAGTTTATTTGGGTAAGGTACAGTTAATTACGAGGACATACAGTAGTTGACGTTAGTGTATTCTACACTATTCTTGCAAATATGACCCTATTACGGCACATTTGCAATCGTCGCAACGATGGATCTGCATATATATTTTAATTCCATATCCTTAAAAGTTGTATGTAGCAGTAAATTAAAGCGGATGATTATCAAATATGAATTTGGTTTTGATTTCAAAACATCACAAATTGATTCCATCTCTTCTATTGATTTTCTTTCATTTTTTTGTAAACACATGAAATGATTAAATCAATATTCTCATCAAAGAAAAAATACGAACATCATTTTTTTCTATTTTAGATTGTGAAAAACTTTGTTTTTGTATAGTTTGTTGACGAAAAGAAAGTTTAAACATACATATAGTTCGTATAACACAAGATTTTGTTTCAGATTTTCATTGAAAATATCGGTTCAATAATAATCAGAAAATAGATGAATATTATATAAAAATAGTTGAATTGCAATGGATTGAAAATGACAATTAATATATTTGAATGGATTTACACGACTGTATGAAAAACAACTAGTCAATAGACTACAAGTTCAGATTCCGATGTGTCAAAAGTAGAAGGTCATTTATTAATCAATTATTTCTCAATTTAGATTGGTCCTTACAATACAACAAATCAAAACTATTCCACAACCTTAAAACTAATTTGAAAAATTTTCTCTTGTCCACTTTTAAAATCATTTTATTAAGTAAAATTTATTTGAAAATAATAAAAGACAAATTCTATCAATAATCATTAAGAGCGACATCTGACGGAAAACAGAATTAAAGTATTTTTTTTTCTGACTTCCAGAAAACAGGACGTATATGGTCACAAAATTCCTCGTCACCTTTTTGGTATCTATCCATGTCGATACGACACACTACCCATACATGGTGTTGACACAATGACCCGATAGACGTACACGTAACGACACATGTCGACACAGTGAATTTTTTGTATGTGATGTGTCGACACATATGTAGGCCCGTCATGCCCTACATCTTGACGTGCTCTTTTAAACAAAAAAAGAATTAAAAATATTGAATGAACCTGGACAGAAAAAAATGGGTTGCGCGGTTAAGAAAGCATAAACTGAGAAAAAACGAAAAACATTTTTCGTTTTTTTTTCAAAATAAGCAGATTTTTCAAAAAAGAGATTAATGAAAATCATTGAAAATTTTGGCAAAAAATGAGATGCCGAAGAAAAAACAATAGTGTTTTTAGAAGGACTATCTTCCCATGCATTTATCTCAATTTCGACGATTTTGGTGAAAATGGACTTTTTGGGAAGGCGGAGACCTTAAATTAGTATAAAATTAGCGCGACATGATTTCAGAAGTAAAAATTAAGAACAATAAACTTACATACGCACGTTCGTCAATAATTGAATGACGTAAGCAGAAACGCGTCGTCCTTCTTCTTCTTGCTTTTTCTTTCTCTGACTCGGTTCATTTGAAATTATGGGCAGCCGTAAATCAAAGCTTATTTCTTCATCCACAGAATTAACCACCAAACAAGTAGCTGAAATCTGTCGTCAAACAAATTTGGTTAATACTGAAGTTCGTCGTCGTCATTCAGATTTTCTTAAACAATATCCTGATGGTTTAATCACACGTGAACAATTGTATGAAAGTCTTAATGAAGTTTGGCCAGAATGTCATATTGATAAATTTGCTTCATATCTTTTTGCTACTTTGTAAGTTTTAATTTGAGATTTGCATCGAAGTCTTATTTGAGTCGACTAAATGTCTCACTAATAAATCAAATTTAGCACAAGAGTTTTTTGAATTGTAAGTCTTATGTTTTGGTATCCACTATACAAACTAATACATTTGTTTGTAAAACCCTGAGAAGACGTGAATCTAGTCTCCAAAATAGATTAATTTGTACAATGAATATCAAAGAATAAAATTCAATATTCCACAAAACCTGTAGTGTTCAATGTAGTTTACTAGTAGACAATTTAGAGAACTCTGACAACTCGTAAATATGACTCCGATGCAGATCTCTCTAGTTTTAATTGTCTTCTTTATTTTTATTTGAAAAAATTAATAGTGATCGAGATCGAAATGGAACAATTGATTTTGTAGAATTTATAAATGTCACACATAAATTAGATTCAAATGATATTTATGAACATAATGATAACGAACAAGTTTTTTTCGGATTACTATTCGATATGTTTGATCGAAATCATAATGGGTAAATATTTTTCTTTTTTTTTTCTCTCTTATTTCTATATTAATTTAAATGATAAGAATAGATATTTAGAAAAAAATGAATTAAAACCATTGATTGAATCGATATATGATTTATCTGGTTTACCAGAAGATGAAAGACGTGGAAAGTATTCATCTCATGCTCAAGTTCAATATTTATTAAAAAAATTTGATAAAAATGGAGATAAACGTTTATCAAAACGAGAGTTTATTGATCAAGAAAATTGGATAAATGATGAAAGACTTGGACGATTTTTTTTCAGTTATTATCACGATATGAATAATCAATAAATAGAAGAATACGTTTTTGAATTGAATTAAATGAAGCCTCTTTTTTTTTTTATTGTATTTTATTTTTTATTACTAATGTTCAAATTAATAAAAGTATAGCTAGAAAAATTAAATTTTTTCTAAATGAAAATCTCAGATCTTTGACTCAATTTAATTCTAAAAATATCATTATAAATGTAAAATGATAGTTTTATTAATGTCATTGAATTAGTCATTCATTTTCTTCCCTGAGTTTTATTTCATCGACGCAATCCTTATAACAATATTTGTTTAAAAAATATTCATCGAAAGGATTAAATATAACTAAACGTCATTTCTCTTCTTTTCCATAGTTAACTTCTTGTTCAAAATAAATAACGTACTATCCAAAATTATAATTAATAATAGAAAAAAATCATGAACTTTAAAGTCTAAATCAATAGGCCTGATTTTCACATTGTTGTTATTAACTGAAGAAATGTGAATAGATGACACGTTTTTGAGAATTTGCAATGATGATAAATCGATATTTTATTATGTAGTTCTGACAAAAGAATATTAACAAATCTTAGATTTCAAAAATGAGTTAAATGTATTCGGTATTACTTATTCAATCATATATTATTATTTTCAATAACTTTTTATTTTAATTAGTCATTCAAATCTTTGCTTGGGTATAATTCAATCAGCAGAAGTTTTCTTTTGTACATACCATTGTTTTCAAAATATATCACCCATAAATAATGAATCTCTATCTGTTGTATATACGTCAATTCTAGAAGTCATGATGTTTATGAATCATTTATTGGAATAGATAAAGAACAGAAATACTAAAATATCATAGTTTTGAATTATACTAGAAGATTGTCTGTAGTAATATAAATATTTATCATTAGCAAACACATATGTTCGTATAATTTTGATACCGGTTGACTATATTTATTTTCGCATTTTACATGTCTACATAAGTGAAAAAAATAAAAACAGATAAAATTAAAAGATTCTTTTATTCTCAATAAAACAGACAGAAGAAAGATGATGATGACTATCATGCATAAGCATTACATTCTCAACATTGTAACTAATAAATATCAATCAAAAGAAAGAAAATAACACAGATCAATCATTATGAATTATCATCAATTACCGTAAATGATTTCTTATGCATTGTATACGGATTGCATTCTTCAACTAGAGTATTGATTAAATATTCAGTTTTATTTTGCAACTGTTTTAATAAGAATAAATTTTTTTTACATTCTTTGATTTAAACAATCAGATAAAACAGTCTGATTAAAGAATATAAACATAAGTTATTATATTTTACTAAATATTTACGTATAATTATGATATCTTCGTAAGAATAAATTCGAATATTAATGTATTCATTCATTCTTTCGTCCTTCATTATGAAAAATATTTCCTACATTGTTTTATTTCGATGTCCTGTTACAAATATAGAACAGTTTTTATTCTAATTTTCGCTCAACTTTATCTATACATATACAAATGTTCTTATTTTATCCCATCTTCACTCGCTAATAATCTTCTCTATCGTCTACTGACTCTTGTTAACACGTTTTTTTCGAATATCAAATTCAAACATATAATTTCTCTGGAATAAACACTCTTTTTATCATCTACAAAGGTGAAATAAATATAATAAATAATTTTATTTCAGGATCTCTCTTTATAATTGTTCATCAAAATTAGTCAACAATTGTTATATATGGAATTGATCATCAAGAAAAACAAAAATTCAATATTTGAATCATGAGTAAAATCTTGTTTTTTAAAATCGTATGTATGAATAAATCCATGGAGAGTTTTATCACTTTTCTAGAAAATTTTTTCTTCGATTTCGATTTTCTATTTAGACGCAATGCTGTTGAAAAATGATTGGGTATAATAATAAAAATCCATTTTGTTACACAAATGTTGGAAATAGAGATCATTTTTTTTTCTAAGGAATAAATCAGTGTATTATTAGCTGTATAAAATAGCATTTCGATATATCATCTTTCGTGATCAAAAAATGTCTTCTTCGCCAATGATTGAGCTCGTTCGTGTCGAATAATAATTCTAAAGAATCTTTTTTTTTCCTGATACTTTAAATTATTGAAGATTAGTCAGTATTATACATCATTTGAAAACGAAGTTATACAGTGAACAGCAAAGAGATTTCTTTGGTTGCAATAAATATGAAATCGTCGAAGTGAAATTGTATTTTTTTAGTTTATTTCCATTGTGTGTACATGTTCTTTGATAATCTAATCTGCTTAAAAATAGTTCGCTTCATCAGTAAACTTGATGTTGTGAATCTTATCATCGTCTTCTGCTCGACCAATTACTTTGATTCAATTACTATCACTAATACTTAGATACCTATTATAACCATTTTTTATTCTTCATTCATTATCTTTGGTTTCACATTGTAATGGTTCTCATGTTATAAACGAATGGTTATTGCGAGAAACCTATATTAAGTGCATGTGAAATACAAAAAGCGAAAGAAGTTTTCATATGAAGTTGTTATAATATATTAAGACATTATCTGTAGAGCTGAACATTGAAACAAATTTTTTCTTCATAACATTGTGCTAGAACATATAGGTCATGTGAATCAATCTGTTTTATCTTAGCATATCAGATTTTCAAAGAAAGTATACATACAATGAAAATAAAAACTAAGAAATGCGATACTACTTTTGTAATTCCACATTTATTGCAATAGAAAAAAATTTCTTTGTTATTGATTATATAATTTAGTTTTCATATGATACATAATTAGTATTGAAAGCTCTTCAATGATTTAAGACATCAGGGAAAAACGAGACTCTTTAAAAATATAATACGACATGAACAAGTTCGATTAATGACCAATATGTTTTTGATCATGCAAGACGATATATCTAGGGTACTATTTTACATAGCTAAAACTACAATGATTTGTTTCTAAGAAAAAATGACTTATATATTAAACCATTATGTAGCAAAACAGATTTTTATTGTTATCTCCGACCGTTTTCAACGATGTTACATCTAACTAGAAGATTAAAACCGAAAAAAATCTAATTTTGAAGCTGAATAAATTCATAAAGATGCAGATGTTCTGACTGTTTGGATATTATTTCCATTGACACTCGATCTGACAGTAAAATTTGTTACTTGGACAATAACTTCATACCTATTGTCGTCTAATCTTGATGTGTGTTAATACCAAGTCAACTTATGCTAAAATTCTTGATTTGTCTATTTCGAAAATAAATTAAAAATAAAAATATTTATTTAGATAAAAGTAGAAATAAAGTATCTATTCTAATGGAAAAATGATTAGCTAAACTTTACAAAAAAATCTGATACTTATCAAGTATTCGAATCATTAGTTAAATTCTCAATTAAAATTATCTTTATATATATATATATTATTTTTTTAGCTTCAAAGGTTCTCATTTGAAAGATATACATTATATACCATTATTTTCTTATTTTGCTGATGTATGTGCTTTTTATTTACTTAATAAAACTATATTATTTATATTTGTGTTGAAACGATCAAAACAGCTTTTCATGTATTATGTAATGATTTTGTAACAGAAAATACTAGTATAAGTGTTGTTCATCAACTTCCATATTTTGAGGAAAATGATTATCGAATTTATTTTGCATATAGTGTTATTAATAAAGATACTGATAAAGCTATTATTAAACATTTAATAGAAGCAAAAAGATTTGTTCATCAATCAGTGATAAAACATTCATTTTGATTTTGTTGGAGAATTCGATATATCATTAATTTACCATACTGTTCTATCATGATTTATTTGAACTGAAGGAATAGTTGATCGTTTATTAGATGATAATAGTAAAATATATTGCTACGAAAATAAATGACTAATCAATAAAGAATCTCTTATCTTATATATATATATTTAATATGATACTGATTTTGTTAAAGAAAAATGCTTTACTAATTGACTTCATGAATACTTATTAAAAATCTGAATTTTCAACGGCAAGATATTCAAATATTTTAGAGTAAATCCTCAGTATTTTGAAGGAGATATAACTATTAATTAAGTCGTGGTTCACATTATGCTGGATCATGGAACTATATTCAGGGTCAGCTCGATAGGTTATACCGTGGTTGTAGCTCGTTTCAACTTTTTTGTCCGTGCAGGTGAGGGTGTAGATTGTCTAAATGAGACCAGTCTCATCTTCACAACCACTCTTACAATTATATCTGTCCAATATAAATCATAGTGATCTTATCTATCAATTCATTAATCAGACTAAATATTTCTATAGTGAATCTGATAATAGTGGTGGAGCCATTGGGTGGCAGAACTACTCTATCCGAGAAGCAAACTATGGAGTCTAATTCTCTTGCTGAGAAGCATGGAAAAAAAATCAATTAGAATATCAATAAAAATGATTATTCTTAATTATTCGATAGTATTTAAATTTATGCTTTAGTGGCGGAGCCAGGAATTTGTTAGACGGTTCAGTCCCTTCAGAAACCTTCGAGCTCACTCTAGAAATGAAACGACTCTATATTATAGCCGAAGAAAATAGCCAATTTTCAGCTTGAAATAGAAGCTGAACTCCTCTCACAATTTTTTTCTGCCTCCACCAATACCTAATAATGATATTAATGAATATATTCCATATAAATTTTACAATAAAATAACTGAACGATTTCAAATGATAGAATATGATTTGACTTATCATCAAAATAGAACAATGAATAAAATAATTTATATATTAAAACGAGAAATTCTTTTGTCTGGTTCTATCATATTTTTTCGATTATAGAAAATCTTCAATATTCATTTAAAGATTATAATTCAAATATTTTCGAAATAAATCCAATAACTAGACAAGTTATTTAACCTAGTTATTTAAGAGATAAATTTTATTCATTTAAATTCATATAAAACAAATTGAACAAATCATAATCGGTTAAATCAACAATCAACAATTATGGCAATCATCATCATTAAAATTGTATTTATGACCAT